TCAAGGAAATCGAAGGAAGCCTCGATGTGGGAAACATCATGATGAGAGTTGTGTGTTCTCACAGGATGGACGATGAAGTAGATGTGTATGTGAAATTCGTTATTCATTGAGAAGAAGAATTCTATTTAGCTACATTTTACTGTTCTGAGTCAAACTAGTAGTCAAACTGTAGTGATGTGTGGTTGTCGAAACAACTAATTATTATTATTTATGAAGACGGAAGGGTTTCAAATAATTTTTAATAGGGATTCTTTTTCTCCAATAAAAGTGGTCATTAAGATGTAAAAGCATGCTCCTGACTATCCTTTTGTCTTTGGAATGGATGAGTTTTGCATACCGAGTGTCTTGTTCCAAGCTCTATTTCCCACTTGGATCTCTCAGGGAAATGATAACAATGATAAGTGTTTTTTTTGTCCTAATAAGTATGTCGTGCTTTATAAAGTTGTTTATAAGTAAAACTGTTTCGAATCTCTTTCTTTCTTTTTCTGTCTCTATGTATGTGTCTCTTTGACCGTATAAGGGAGCGACATCAGAATATGAGTCTCCCGATAATTGGGAATTCTACAGACGACGTGAAGAGTCCTCGTCGTACTCCTCCTCCTACGGTGATAAGAAGAGACAGAAGTTGTAAGAGGCCTCATTGGAGGGAGGAATATAGTTCTTTTATTTCCCTGGAACGGAATATGGTTTCTACGCCGATTTCAGTTGGAGACGATTCAGCCGGTCGTCAGCGGCTCACTGGTGAGGTATGTTATTGTTGCTTGGTTTTGATTTTCCTTATGATAATGGATGTGGACCTGTTGTTTTTAAGTCAAACTGTATTATTCATACTCGAATTCCGATGTATAAATGTGAACAGAGGAAGAGTGTCGTTGCAGAATAACATCGAATGATTGTGGAATAAAGCACACGAATGATAAGTTGTTCAAACGTTGCTATATATACATGTATATATGTATATGTATACATGTATACATATGTATATATATATACATATATGTATAGATATATAAATGTACATATATGTATAGATTGCAATTTGGGATTCATGTTCAATGATGTGATGAATGATTATTTCTTGCATATATGCATATTTCAACAAATATGATCTACGATAAATACACCAACATTGGAATACTTAAAATATGGTAGGAATGAGGTGAATGTGATGGCGAATCGTTTGCTTGTTTTTTTAAACTGAAACCTCAAGGATAGCCTCAGAATCCGCCAGTAAACTACCTGCGGCGTGCCGTTCACGTGGTTGTGGTAGGTTGTTCAACTATTTCCGCTGGAGTACAGTTGTTAGGATTTTAATGATAGTATGTATAACTGGATAGAAAATTGTCGTTTAGGCAAAGATATATGGAACAGGTATTTGTTTAGTGGACGGATCGAAGAACAGAATACTGTATATTGATTGGAGAACCGGGATGAGATTTATGATCATCTCGGTGAATACATTTACGAGAGCGTTGCATTCTCTTCGACGTTGTTGCGTTCTAGTCTCGCAGCCAATTGTATCTTCACTTGTTTCGCAAAGAATCCCACATTTTGTTCAGGGTAGATAGAAATCTGTACGAAAATCTTTTAGACGTGTTTACTTTTACGTGTTTTCCTTCCATAAGTTGACTGTGATTATGCCTGACTAAACAGTTTCACTAACGCACTGTTATGTTTTTGGTAGTCTTGCTGTCGTGATTGAGTGCTTTTGATTATCTCCTTATAGACTGATTTGTGGTCGATGGATCCCTTTGAAAGCAGAGACAAAATCCCACGAACTCCACCTGGACAGTCGTTTGTGAACAAGTCTTTGGTTACGGATACAGAAGCCGGTCTTAACTGTTCCACATACGAGTCAGGTAGCCGGAGGAGTTTTGCTGACCGGACTCCTGAAAAACATACCTTGGCTCTTAGAAATTCTGGCACTGCTTGGTAAGTCCTGTTTTGTAGCATATGCGCTAATGAATTTTCTGCGATCCCAATGTAGTGAGATGAATGTCTCTGGTGGCAATTAATATTATCACATAGTGATTCAAATTTGAATACTTTTCCACTTTGCGCCATGTAGGTGGCGACTAAACGAGTTCGAGATGCAAATAACGATGAAAAGCCGCACCATAGTAGAAAAAAGTAAAAGTAAAGCAAGTTAAATAAGACCATGTTGGACTAAAGTTAGAATTACCATTACAAGGTTGAAGTGCATCTCAGAAAAGAGCGATTGATTCTGACCTGTATCAGCTGAAGTCATAGAAAGTAGGATACTAGCGTCAGCTGGACTCTGATCTGTGTCTCGGAACTACACCGATTAAGCAACAAACCCTTCTACTTACCTCAGGTGTTTATAGGCAGACAGGGATAAAAAGTCTAAAACAGGCTATGTGAGTTCAGTACACAAACGAATTACACCAAACATCTTTAAATTTCAGGTGAGGGATGATTCATAATTCACTGAGAAGAAGAATTCTATTTAGCTACATTTTACTGTTCTGAGTCAAACTAGTAGTCAAACTGTAGTGATGTGCGGTTGTCGAAACAACTAATTATTATTATTTATGAAGACGGAAGGGTTTCAAATAATTTTGAATAAGGATTCTTTTTCTCCAATAAAAGTGGTCATTAAGATGTAAAAGCATGCTCCTGACTATCCTTTTGTCTTTGGAATGGATGAGTTTTGCATACCGAGTGTCTTGTTCCAAGCTCTATTTCCCACTTGGATCTCTCAGGGAAATGATAACAATGATAAGTGTTTTTTTTGTCCTAATAAGTATGTCGTGCTTTATAAAGTTGTTTATAAGTAAAACTGTTTCGAATCTCTTTCTTTCTTTTTCTGTCTCTATGTATGTGTCTCTTTGACCGTATAAGGGAGCGATATCAGAATATGAGTCTCCCGATAATTGGGAATTCTACAGACAACGTGAAGAGTCCTCGTCGTACTCCTCCTCCTACGGTGATAAGAAGAGACAGAAGTTGTAAGAGGCCTCATTCGAGGGAGGAATATAGTTCTTTTATTTCCCTGGAACGGAATATGGTTTTGATATGTATCCACATATATATATTTATGTGGGTGTGTGTATGTTGGTCTCTCTTTCTGTTTGCTCGGTTAGTCTGTGACCACTTCACTTGTATGGACTTGTCTCCTTTAATAATGTGTATTCTCCTTATATTATATTATATATAATATGAGTGTTTGTTGACAGTCCGTTGCTTGGTGACATATATCCATATATGTTTGTTGGCATGTCTGCTATATTCGCTATGTATAATTGGATCGACACTCCATTATAATTAGCCATTCATGTTAAGACTGTCTAATGATTTTTCCCACGCTTGTCTGAATTATTTATATATATTCGCATTCACAATTTGTGTGAACTACTTTACTTTACAACTACTTGACTTGCTTACCACTTTGGTGTGAGACCATTTATTTTCGTCTCCTTGTGTTTGGACAATAGAAGTATCATCGCAAACCTAGTGGTCTTCTGATTTCCGCCTTCTCGCGTCAGGACTATTAGTTTCTCGACCAGTCCATAACAATAATTTAGCGACGAGTACATAACAATTTGGCGACGGGGAAACTAGTACATAACAATTTGGCGACGGGGAAAACTAGAACATAACAATTTGGCGACGGGGAAAACTACTATTAACCACACAGCAGCAACAACATAACAATTTACTATGGATCCTATTAAATTGGAATTATTGTTTGAACGACAAATGAAATTAATGGAAATGTTCGTCAACCAACAGACTGGTCCAGCTCCACCTTCAAGCAATCCCAATCATACCATGCTACCATCTGTCGACGGAATTGTGAACAGCATTTCACAGTTCAATTATGACCCAGAGGCTAATGTCACTTTTGACACATGGTATCAACGTTATGAGGATTTATTCACTGTTGATCTCGCCTCACAAGACGATGCCTGGAAGGTGCGAGTTTTGCTACGTAAATTGGGTCCGGCAGAATATGAACGGTACTGCAACCTAATTTTACCACAGAAACCACGTGACAATTGTTTCGATGATACAATAAAGTTGCTGCGTGAACATTTCGGAGACCACTCCTCATTATTCAGTATACGTTATCGTTGCCTCAAGCTGGCAATGAATGAAAATGATGATTTTCTTACTCACGTTGGCACAGTCAACCGAGAATGTGAGAGATTTCGACTCAGGTCCTTAACAGATGATCAGTTCAAAGCCTTGATTCTCATATGCAGTCTCCAATCTCCTCGTTTCACAGATATCCGAACTCGACTGCTCAATCAGCTAGAACAAAATCCCAAGTTAACATTACATGACATAGCTGATGAATATCAACGGCTGATTAATCTGCAGAAAGACACACACTTGGTCGAATCAACACCTCCGAGAAGCTCTGATATTCGTGCATTACGCAAGAGCAAAAATCTCTCATCAGCTACTCCTGACCCACCTACTTCTCTAATGTCCCGCGGAAATCTACACATACTCGTCCAACTTCACAAAATACTGCAAAGAAGACCCCTCCATCACCATGCTGGCATTGTGGCGCGTGGCACTTTGTAAAGTCTTGTCCATACAAAAATCATCGTTGCAGCAAGTGCAAGATCATCGGTCACAAAAATGGTTTTTGTCAGCCACGCAACCCAGATATCAAAATCCAGCAAAAGCTCAACAAAATGTTGGTCCTAAATCCCCAAAAAGTCATTGAGTCTACGCGCAACCCGTCAAGTCACAACACCAGCTATGCGGAAATATATTGACCTTCAGATGAATGGTCATGATACTCGTCTGCAGCTAGATACTGCCTCTGATATTACTGTTATATCAGAGAAACTTTGGAATTATATTGGCAGACCACCTATCACCAATACTTCCCAGTCTCTTCTCAGCGCCTGTGGTGGGCGGCTCAAACTAATTGGTGAACTCAAATGTTCTGTTTCCTTCCGCAATACCAAATTCACAGGAATTTGTTACGTCACGAAGAATGATTTAAATGTTTTGGGACTTGATTGGTTCGATCGTTTGCATCTGGCTGATGTCCCACTAAATTCTCTACGCAATACAGTGAAGAAGCATAAAATGCTAGACAATTCCGGACGGAGCCGAAGCCGCAAACCCAACAATCAGACGAAACGACAGGCGTCAACAACAAGCCCAAAGGTCCCAGATAAACCCCCAGGTAAACATCCTACTAATCATCCATCTTCTCAAAAGGGGAGGTGATATGTATCCACATATATATATTTATGTGTGTGTGTGCATGTTGGTCTCTCTTTCTGTTTGCTCGGTTAGTCTGTGACCACTTCACTTGTATGGACTTGTCTCCTTTAATAATGTGTATTCTCCTTATATTATATTATATATAATATGAGTGTTTGTTGACAGTCCGTTGCTTGGTGACATATATCCATATATGTTTGTTGGCATGTCTGCTATATTCGCTATGTATAATTGGATCGACACTCCATTATAATTAGCCATTCATGTTAAGACTGTCTAATGATTTTTCCCACGCTTGTCTGAATTATTTATATATATTCGCATTCACAATTTGTGTGAACTACTTTACTTTACAACTACTTGACTTGCTTACCACTTTGGTGTGAGACCATTTATTTTCGTCTCCTTGTGTTTGGACAATAGAAGTATCATCGCAAACCTAGTGGTCTTCTGATTTCCGCCTTCTCGCGTCAGGACTATTAGTTTCTCGACCAGTCCATAACAATAATTTAGCGACGAGTACATAACAATTTGGCGACGGGGAAACTAGTACAGAACAGGTTTCTACGCCGATTTCAGTTCGAGACGATTCAGCCGGTCGTCAGCGGCTCACTGGTGAGGTATGTTATTGTTGCTTGGTTTTGATTTTCCTTATGATAATGGATGTGGACCTGTTGTTTTTAAGTCAAACTGTATTATTCATACTCGAATTCCGATGTATAAATGTGAACAGAGGAAGAGTGTCGTTGCAGAATAACATCGAATGATTGTGGAATAAAGCACACGAATGATAAGTTGTTCAAACGTTGCTATATATACATGTATATATGTATATGTATACATGTATACATATGTATGTATATATATATTGAATATGTCTGCTGTTAGAGATGGTAATGTTAAAAGTTATCCTCATTGTAGTGTTTTTGATAGACTTTTGTTTCCACGATTTACTAGGCTTACCGAACATGCTGAGATTCTTGTTGAAGTTATTTGGAACACTGTGACTGTGTTGTTACCGTTGTCTACATGGGTATAGTATGACTCCAAAAGTGAAGTCACCTATCTGTGTTCTGAAGGTGTTAATTTTTTGGTATGAATAAAACAATATGTGAGAACTAGTGTTATATTTGCTCTACAGTGTTGATTCTGTATTGTTATTATAATTGTTGTTTTTTAGAAGGGGTTCGTTTCGAATACGTAAGTTTGTTGAATTGTTGATTTTGAGTGATATGCTGATTTATGTGTTATGTATGCGTTACGATAGTTTTTTTATAGTTTCGACTTCCTTGTGCTTTAAATAAGTGTCTTTCAGAGGTGAGAATTAAGTGAGTAGGAGTCAGCTACCCATTGTTTGCATAGAGGTAGTGTGGTTACCCCTCCACATAACAGATGAAAGACTTTCCTTTAATTAATCAGTTAATTTATTAATTATAAACAGTGATTGCAATAACTAACTGTTGTCTTCTTATACTTGATTAATCTGATATTCTAGGTGAATGTAAAGTTCCAGTTAGAGTCGACTAGGCATTTGTCACCGAACGCATCGATATTCACCGGAAAGCTTTTACCCTCTTTCCAGAATACAAATATGGGTGAAACACTTACAAACATATGTATGGCATATAACTGCTCCCTCGAAATAGTAAATACTGGTAAATTAAAAGAGTAAATAGGCAATAAGAGCAGGAAGACAATGCTATGTACTACTGATCGATCGATGCGAGTAGTTGTAAAACATTCCCGCTAAGTAGTAGTGCTTCTTAGATAGATTGACATTTTCTGTGAAATGTGAGAATTAGAGATAGTTCCGTTTACCTGGTCTTTGTCAATGATTTACTCAGTATATCAGTATTGTGATGACTCTTCCTTTGATAGTCGTGTGTTAATTAGTTTGGCTAATATTATATCTAAGGTTCTAGGTTGAATAATCATGCGTCAAAAAATACGGACGATAGCGTGTTGATCATGTATTCAGCCTCTGATGGAGTTTGGAACACAGAGGTATGTATATGTAACAACTTCCTCCCCGGGCATGAGGCGAGCGACCCCACTCTGTAGACAAAGAAAAAGCATGTGTGGGCACATGGAACGTCTACACTACGTATGAGACTAACAAAGCTGTCTAGATTTCGAATGAGGTGAAGAGATATGCTATTCAAGTGCTAGGAATATGTGAAAGCAGATGGAATGAGAATGGACTCACCAAATTGTTTACGGGAGAGTCAGCGATTTACTATAGTCACCCAGAAGATAACCACGAGCACACCGAGGGTGTGGCTATCGTGATGTCACCAACGGAAACGAAGGCCCTAATGCAAAGGGAGGCGATCTCGCCCAGCGGTCAGCGAGGAAACAGGCCTAAAATGGACCCACACAAAATACTTGGAGGATCTGGACTTCGCTGATGATATATGTCTGGTTCCCACAGACTGGAAGATATGCAAGTGAAAAGTACCGAGTTGGCAGAAGAATCATCAAGCATAGGACTTCAGGTTAACATAGGTAAAACATAGGTGATGAAGATTCCTGGCCAACACCAACAGCAACAACAGACAACAATCAGCCAGCATAAATCGTAGGAACCTGAAAGAAACAACCTCCTTTACCTACCTGGGAGGCATCGCGTTTCAACTACAGGCGGAACTGACGAGGATATCAAAGCCAGAATTGGAAAAGCAAGACAAGCTTTTATTACTCTCAAGTCTGTGTGGAGGTCAACAGCACTCAGCATCAAAAATAACATCCGGATTTTCGACTCCAATGTGAAGTCAGTCAGTGCTACTATACGGATGGATCAGAGACTTGCACTGCGCGTCATAAAGAGCATCTCAAACAAACTTCAGACCTTCATTAACAGCTGCCTTCGCTCAGAACTCAAGATTAGATGGCCAGAAAAGATCAACAACAGGAATCTGTGGGAGCGAACGAATCAGGAACCGATTGTGCGAGAAATAAGCAGGAACAAATGGAGGTGGATTGGTCATACTCTGAAGAAACCATGAAATGACATCACTAGACAAGCGCCTTGAGTTTAACCCAAAAGAGGAGCAGCGAGGTGGTCTTCCAAGGTTGACTAGGAGAAAGTCATGTGAAAAAAGGGGATGAGAGAATGTGAGTAGACTTGGAGCAAGGTAACAACTCAAGCTGGGTACGGAACGCAATGGAGATGGGGAGCTGAAGCCCTATGTTTCTCGAGGAATTACCTCTACACTTGATTAAAGGGCGTTGATGAAAGTAGTAGAACTCACTATTTCACAAATATACAGTATGAAGAAAGTAGGTTCATGAAAAACAGTTTAAAGAAGTGTAAGAATGTTGAACAGGTTCCGTGATTAGAGATGCCTCGAGAATAACTGCCATTCCCAAATAGGAGTGTGCGTATCCATAGAAATGACTACAACTTACGTCCAGCAGCTAGGCTTACGAGATGAGATTTATAGCTGCTAGGGTTAGGATTTGGTTCTAGGCATTTTCCCGGATTGAATATGCTCCATAGATCTTGAACAGCATTGGTTATTAGTAAGAAGCTCAATTTCTCCATTATGACCTCATCATAACTCACGTAAACTCTGATTGGGCGCCTCAAAGTCATTGAGTCGCTTATGGATGGTCTGGATCAATAATCTTTACCATTGCCTGTATTTAATGTACGCGTGGATAATTTAGTCGTGTTAGTTTAAGTTACTGTGGCGTATGTCTTGACTGTAAGATCAGCTAGTTGTTTTTGGTGTGACTGCCGTTTCAAGGAAATCGAAGGAAGCCTCGATGTGGGAAACATCATGATGAGAGTTGTGTGTTCTCACAGGATGGACGATGAAGTAGATGTCTATGTGAAATTCGTTATTCACTGAGAAGAAGAATTCTATTTAGCTACATTTTACTGTTCTGAGTCAAACTAGTAGTCAAACTGTAGTGATGTGCGGTTGTAGAAACAACTAATTATTATTATTTATGAAGACGGAAGGGTTTCAAATAATTTTGAATAAGGATTCTTTTTCTCCAATAAAAGTGGTCATTAAGATGTAAAAGCATGCTCCTGACTATCCTTTTGTCTTTGGAATGGATGAGTTTTGCATACCGAGTGTCTTGTTCCAAGCTCTATTTTCCACTTGGATCCCTCAGGGAAATGATAACAATGATAAGTGTTTTTTTTGTCCTAATAAGTATGTCGTGCTTTATAAAGTTGTTTATAAGTAAAACTGTTTCGAATCTCTTTCTTTCTTTTTCTGTCTCTATGTATGTGTCTCTTTGACCGTATAAGGGAGCTATATCAGAATATGAGTCTCCCGATAATTGGGAATTCTACAGACGACGTGGAGAGTCCTCGTCGTACTCCTCCTCCTACGGTGATAAGAAGAGACAGAGGTTGTACGATGCGTCTTGGAGGGAGGAATATAGTTCTTTTATTTCCCTGGAACGGAATATGGTTTCGACGCCAATTTCAGTTCGAGACGATTCAGCCGGTCGTCAGCGGCTCACTGGTGAGGTATGTTATTGTTGCTTGGTTTTGATTTTCCTTATGATAATGGATGTGGACCTGTTGTTTTTAAGTCAAACTGTATTATTCATACTCGAATTCCGATGTATAAATGTGAACAGAGGAAGAGTGTCGTTGCAGAATAACATCGAATGATTGTGAAATAAAGCACACGAATGATAAGTTGTTCAAACGTTGCTATATATACATGTATATATGTATATGTATACATGTATATATATATATATATATATATATTGAATATGTCTGCTGTTAGAGATGGTAATGTTAAAAGTTATCCTCATTGTAGTGTTTTTGATAGACTTTTGTTTCCACGATTTACTAGGCTTACCGAACATGCTGAGATTCTTGTTGAAGTTATTTGGAACACTGTGACTGTGTTGTTACCGTTGTCTACATGGGTATAGTATGACTCCAAAAGTGAAGTCACCTATCTGTGTTCTGAAGGTGTTAATTTTTTGGTATGAATAAAAAAATATGTGAGAACTAGTGTTATATTTGCTCTACAGTATTGATTCTGTATTGTTATTATAATTGTTGTTTTTTAGAAGGGGTTCGTTTCGAATACGTAAGTTTGTTGAATTGTTGATTTTGAGTGATATGCTGATTTATGTGTTATGTATGCGTTACGATAGTTTTTTTTATAGTTTCGACTTCCTTGTGCTTTAAATAAGTGTCTTTCAGAGGTGAGAATTAAGTGAGTAGGAGTCAGCTACCCATTGTTTGCATAGAGGTAGTGTGGTTACCCCTCCACATAACAGATGAAAGACTTTCCTTTAATTAATCAGTTAATTTATTAATTATAAACAGTGATTGCAATAACTAACTGTTGTCTTCTTATACTTGATTAATCTGATATTCTAGGTGAATGTAAAGTTCCAGTTAGAGTCGACTAGGCATTTGTCACCGAACGCATCGATATTCACCGGAAAGCTTTTACCCTCTTTCCAGAATACAAATATGGGTGAAACACTTACAAACATATGTATGGCATATAACTGTTCCCTCGAAATAGTAAATACTGGTAAATTAAAAGAGTAAATAGGCAATAAGAGCAGGAAGACAATGCTATGTACTACTGGTCGATCGATGCGAGTAGTTGTAAAACATTCCCGCTAAGTAGTAGTGCTTCCTAGATAGATTGACATTTTCTGTGAAATGTGAGAATTAGAGATAGTTCCGTTTACCTGGTCTTTGTCAATGATTTACTCAGTATATCAGTATTGTGATGACTCTTCCTTTGATAGTCGTGTGTTAATTAGTTTGGCTAATATTATATCTAAGGTTCTAGGTTGAATAATCATTCCTCAAAAAATACGGACGATAGCGTGTTGATCATGTATTCAGCCTCTGATGGAGTTTGGAACACAGAGGTATGTATATGTAACAACTTCCTCCCCGGGCATGAGGCGAGCGACCCCACTCTGTAGACAAAGAAAAAGCATGTGTGGGCACATGGAACGTCTACACTACGTATGAGACTAACAAAGCTGTCTAGATTTCGAATGAGGTGAAGAGATATGCTATTCAAGTGCTAGGAATATGTGAAAGCAGATGGAATGAGAATGGACTCACCAAATTGTTTACGGGAGAGTAAGCGATTTACTATAGTCACCCAGAAGATAACCACGAGCACACCGAGGGTGTGGCTATCATGATGTCACCAACGGAAACGAAGGCCCTAATGCAAAGGGAGGTGATCTCGCCCAGCGGGCAGCGAGGAAACAGGCCTAAAATGGACCCACACAAAATACTTGGAGGATCTGGACTTCGCTGATGATATATGTCTGGTTCCCACAGACTGGAAGATATGCAAGTGAAAAGCACCGAGTTGGCAGAAGAATCATCAAGCGTAGGACTTCAGGTTAACATAGGTAAAACATAGGTGATGAAGATTCCTGGCCAACACCAACAGCAACAACAGACAACAATCAGCCAGCATAAATCGTAGGAACCTGAAAGAAACAACCTCCTTTACCTACCTGGGAGGCATCGTTTCAACTACAGGCGGAACTGACGAGGATACCAAAGCCAGAATTGGAAAAGCAAGACAAGCTTTTATTACTCTCAAGTCTGTGTGGAGGTCAACAGCACTCAGCATCAAAAATAACATCCGGATTTTCGACTCGAATGTGAAGTCAGTCAGTGCTACTATACGGATGGATCAGAGACTTGCACTGCACGTCATAAAGAGCATCTCAAACAAACTTCAGACCTTCATTAACGGCTGCCTTCGCTCAGAACTCCAGATCAGATGGCCAGAAAAGATCAACAACAGGAATCTGTGGGAGCGAATGAACCAGGAACCGATTGTGCGAGAAATAAGCAGGAACAAATGGAGGTGGATTGGTCATACTCTGAAGAAACCATGAAATAACATCACTAGACAAGCCCTTGAGTGTAACCCAAAAGAGAAGCAGCGAGGTGGTCGTCCAAGGTTGACTAGGAGAAAATCATTTGAAAAAAGGGGATGAGAGAATGTGGGTAGACTTGGAGCAAGGTAACAACTCAAGCTAGGAACGGAACGCAATGGAGACGGGGAGCTGAAGCCCTATGTTTCTCGAGGAATTACCTCTACACTTGATTAAAGGGCGTTGAAGAAAGTAGTAGAACTCAATAATTCACAAATATACAGTATGAAGAAAGTAGGTTCATGAAAAACAGTTTAAAGAAGTGTAAGAATGTTGAACAGGTTCCGTGATTAGAGATGCCTCGAGAATAACTGCCATTCCCAAATAGGAGTGTGCGTATCCATAGAAATGACTACAACTTACGTCCAGCAGCTAGGCTTACGAGATGAGATTTATAGCTGCTAGGGTTAGGATTTGGTTCTAGGCATTTTCCCGGATTGAATACGCTCCATAGATCTTGAACAGCATTGGTTATTAGTAAGAAGCTCAATTTCTCCATTATGACCTCATCATAACTCACGTAAACTCTGATTGGGCGCCTCAAAGTCATTGAGTCGCTTATGGATGGTCTGGATCAATAATCTTTATCATTGCCTGTATTTAATGTACGCGTGGATAATTTAGTCGTGTTAGTTTTAGTTACTGTGGCGTATGTCTTGACTGTAAGATCAGCTAGTTGTTTTTGGTGTGACTGCCGTTTCAAGGAAATCGAAGGAAGCCTCGATGTGGGAAACATCATGATGAGAGTTGTGTGTTCTCACAGGATGGACGATGAAGTAGATGTGTATGTGAAATTCGTTATTCATTGAGAAGAAGAATTCTATTTAGCTACATTTTACTGTTCTGAGTCAAACTAGTAGTCAAACTGTAGTGATGTGTGGTTGTCGAAACAACTAATTATTATTATTTATGAAGACGGAAGGGTTTCAAATAATTTTTAATAGGGATTCTTTTTCTCCAATAAAAGTGGTCATTAAGATGTAAAAGCATGCTCCTGACTATCCTTTTGTCTTTGGAATGGATGAGTTTTGCATACCGAGTGTCTTGTTCCAAGCTCTATTTCCCACTTGGATCCCTCAGGGAAATGATAACAATGATAAGTGTTTTTTTTGTCCTAATAAGTATGTCGTGCTTTATAAAGTTGTTTATAAGTAAAACTGTTTCGAATCTCTTTCTTTCTTTTTCTGTCTCTATGTATGTGTCTCTTTGACCGTATAAGGGAGCGATATCAGAATATGAGTCTCCCGATAATTGGGAATTCTACAGACGACGTGAAGAGTCCTCGTCGTACTCCTCCTCCTACGGTGATAAGAAGAGACAGAAGTTGTAAGAGGCCTCATTGGAGGGAGGAATATAGTTCTTTTATTTCCCTGGAACGGAATATGGTTTCTACGCCGATTTCAGTTGGAGACGATTCAGCCGGTCGTCAGCGGCTCACTGGTGAGGTATGTTATTGTTGCTTGGTTTTGATTTTCCTTATGATAATGGATGTGGACCTGTTGTTTTTAAGTCAAACTGTATTATTCATACTCGAATTCCGATGTATAAATGTGAACAGAGGAAGAGTGTCGTTGCAGAATAACATCGAATGATTGTGGAATAAAGCACACGAATGATAAGTTGTTCAAACGTTGCTATATATATATGTATATATGTATATGTATACATGTATACATATGTATATATATATACATATATGTATAGATATATAAATGTACATATATGTATAGATTGCAATTTGGGATTCATGTTCAATGATGTGATGAATGATTATTTCTTGCATATATGCATATTTCAACAAATATGATCTACGATAAATACACCAACATTGGAATACTTAAAATATGGTAGGAATGAGGTGAATGTGATGGCGAATCGTTTGCTTGTTTTTTTAAACTGAAACCTCAAGGATAGCCTCAGAATCCGCCAGTAAACTACCTGCGGCGTGCCGTTCACGTGGTTGTGGTAGGTTGTTCAACTATTTCCGCTGGAGTACAGTTGTTAGGATTTTAATGATAGTATGTATAACTGGATAGAAAATTGTCGTTTAGGCAAAGATATATGGAACAGGTATTTGTTTAGTGGACGGATCGAAGAACAGAATACTGTATATTGATTGGAGAACCGGGATGAGATTTATGATCATCTCGGTGAATACATTTACGAGAGCGTTGCATTCTCTTCGACGTTGTTGCGTTCTAGTCTCGCAGCCAATTGTATCTTCACTTGTTTCGCAAAGAATCCCACATTTTGTTCAGGGTAGATAGAAATCTGTACGAAAATCTTTTAGACGTGTTTACTTTTACGTGTTTTCCTTCCATAAGTTGACTGTGATTATGCCTGACTAAACAGTTTCACTAACGCACTGTTATGTTTTTGGTAGTCTTGCTGTCGTGATTGAGTGCTTTTGATTATCTCCTTATAGACTGATTTGTGGTCGATGGATCCCTTTGAAAGCAGAGACAAAATCCCACGAACTCCACCTGGACAGTCGTTTGTGAACAAGTCTTTGGTTACGGATACAGAAGCCGGTCTTAACTGTTCCACATACGAGTCAGGTAGCCGGAGGAGTTTTGCTGACCGGACTCCTGAAAAACATACCTTGGCTCTTAGAAATTCTGGCACTGCTTGGTAAGTCCTGTTTTGCAGCATATGCGCTAATGAATTTTCTGCGATCCCAATGTAGTGAGATGAATGTCTCTGGTGGCAATTAATATTATCACATAGTGATTCAAATTTGAATACTTTTCCACTTTGCGCCATGTAGGTGGCGACTAAACGAGTTCGAGATGCAAATGACGATGAAAAGCCGCACCATAGTAGAAAAAAGTAAAAGTAAAGCAAGTTAAATAAAACCATGTTGGACTAAAGTTAGAATTACCATTACAAGGTTGAAGTGCATCTCAGAAAAGAGCGATTGATTCTGACCTGTATCAGCTGAAGTCATAGAAAGTAGGATACTAGCGTCAGCTGGACTCTGATCTGTGTCTCGGAACTACACCGATTAAGCAACAAACCCTTCTACTTACCTCAGGTGTTTATAGGCAGACAGGGATAAAAAGTCTAAAACAGGCTATGTGAGTTCAGTACACAAACGAATTACACCAAACACCTTTAAATTTCAGGTGAGGGATGATTCATAATTCACTGAGAAGAAGAATTCTATTTAGCTACATTTTACTGTTCTGAGTCAAACTAGTAGTCAAACTGTAGTGATGTGCGGTTGTCGAAACAACTAATTATTATTATTTATGAAGACGGAAGGGTTTCAAATAATTTTGAATAAGGATTCTTTTTCTCCAATAAAAGTGGTCATTAAGATGTAAAAGCATGCTCCTGACTATCCTTTTGTCTTTGGAATGGATGAGTTTTGCATACCGAGTGTCTTGTTCCAAGCTCTATTTCCCACTTGGATCCCTCAGGGAAATGATAACAATGATAAGTGTTTTTTTTGTCCTAATAAGTATGTCGTGCTTTATAAAGTTGTTTATAAGTAAAACTGTTTCGAATCTCTTTCTTTCTTTTTCTGTCTCTATGTATGTGTCTCTTTGACCGTATAAGGGAGCGATATCAGAATATGAGTCTCCCGATAATTGGGAATTCTACAGACGACGTGAAGAGTCCTCGTCGTACTCCTCCTCCTACGGTGATAAGAAGAGACAGAAGTTGTAAGAGGCCTCATTGGAGGGAGGAATATAGTTCTTTTATTTCCCTGGAACGGAATATGGTTTCTACGCCGATTTCAGTTGGAGACGATTCAGCCGGTCGTCAGCGGCTCACTGGTGAGGTATGTTATTGTTGCTTGGTTTTGATTTTCCTTATGATAATGGATGTGGACCTGTTGTTTTTAAGTCAAACTGTATTATTCATACTCGAATTCCGATGTATAAATGTGAACAGAGGAAGAGTGTCGTTGCAGAATAACATCGAATGATTGTGGAATAAAGCACACGAATGATAAGTTGTTCAAACGTTGCTATATATACATGTATATATGTATATGTATACATGTATACATATGTATATGTATATATATATATGTATAGATATATAAATGTACATATATGTATAGATTGCAATTTGGGATTCATGTTCAATGATGTGATGAATGATTATTTCTTGCATATATGCATATTTCAACAAATATGATCTACGATAAATACACCAACATTGGAATACTTAAAATATGGTAGGAATGAGGTGAATGTGATGGCGAATCGTTTGCTTTTTAAAGGTTGACGGATATTTAAGGTTTGACGTGATATCTCGTTCAACAACTTCTAATTAATTTATTCTCGCGTACCAAAGACAAAGCAAAAGCCAATAATTGATCGTCCAAACCAAGATATATATTTAGTAACCAAAACCAGCCGTTAGACGAACGCTTAGCTAGCTAGTGATCGTGCACGTGACACGACGAGGTACCAAATGGCGGGGATGCTTGACCGGAAGCCTTCAGCTAAACAAGTCGACTTAAACAGTGGTGGTCAGCATCCAATGAGTGATTGCTGTGGTCAATAATTTTGGGGAATTATTTACCGCTACAGCTCACTCCCTCCCTAGTGGGGTCGTGAGGACCCTAAGACAGAACTAGCCGGAAGTGCCAAAGTGCGCTTCGCTCTCTGCTTCAGATATTAGCTTGATTATCGGACATGTATTAAGCGAAGTTAGACGAAGAGTGTGTCCTTAGTTTGCAATTTGGGATTCATGTTCAATGATGTGATGAATGATTATTTCTTGCATATATGCATATTTCAACAAATATGATCTACGATAAATACACCAACATTGGAATACTTAAAATATGGTAGGAATGAGGTGAATGTGATGGCGAATCGTTTGCTTGTTTTTTTAAACTGAAACCTCAAGGATAGCCTCAGAATCCGCCAGTAAACTACCTGCGGCGTGCCGTTCACGTGGTTGTGGTAGGTTGTTCAACTATTTCCGCTGGAGTACAGTTGTTAGGATTTTAATGATAGTATGTATAACTGGATAGAAAATTGTCGTTTAGGCAAAGATATATGGAACAGGTATTTGTTTAGTGGACGGATCGAAGAACAGAATACTGTATATTGATTGGAGAACCGGGATGAGATTTATGATCATCTCGGTGAATACATTTACGAGAGCGTTGCATTCTCTTCGACGTTGTTGCGTTCTAGTCTCGCAGCCAATTGTATCTTCACTTGTTTCGCAAAGAATCCCACATTTTGTTCAGGGTAGATAGAAATCTGTACGAAAATCTTTTAGACGTGTTTACTTTTACGTGTTTTCCTTCCATAAGTTGACTGTGATTATGCCTGACTAAACAGTTTCACTAACGCACTGTTATGTTTTTGGTAGTCTTGCTGTCGTGATTGAGTGCTTTTGATTATCTCCTTATAGACTGATTTGTGGTCGATGGATCCCTTTGAAAGCAGAGACAAAATCCCACGAACTCCACCTGGACAGTCGTTTGTGAACAAGTCTTTGGTTACGGATACAGAAGCCGGTCTTAACTGTTCCACATACGAGTCAGGTAGCCGGAGGAGTTTTGCTGACCGGACTCCTGAAAAACATACCTTGGCTCTTAGAAATTCTGGCACTGCTTGGTAAGTCCTGTTTTGCAGCATATGCGCTAATGAATTTTCTGCGATCCCAATGTAGTGAGATGAATGTCTCTGGTGGCAATTAATATTATCACATAGTGATTCAAATTTGAATACTTTTCCACTTTGCGCCATGTAGGTGGCGACTAAACGAGTTCGAGATGCAAATGACGATGAAAAGCCGCACCATAGTAGAAAAAAGTAAAAGTAAAGCAAGTTAAATAAAACCATGTTGGACTAAAGTTAGAATTACCATTACAAGGTTGAAGTGCATCTCAGAAAAGAGCGATTGATTCTGACCTGTATCAGCTGAAGTCATAGAAAGTAGGATACTAGCGTCAGCTGGACTCTGATCTGTGTCTCGGAACTACACCGATTAAGCAACAAACCCTTCTACTTACCTCAGGTGTTTATAGGCAGACAGGGATAAAAAGTCTAAAACAGGCTATGTGAGTTCAGTACACAAACGAATTACACCAAACACCTTTAAATTTCAGGTGAAGGATGATTCATAATTCACTGAGAAGAAGAATTCTATTTAGCTACATTTTACTGTTCTGAGTCAAACTAGTAGTCAAACTGTAGTGATGTGCGGTTGTCGAAACAACTAATTATTATTATTTATGAAGACGGAAGGGTTTCAAATAATTTTGAATAAGGATTCTTTTTCTCCAATAAAAGTGGTCATTAAGATGTAAAAGCATGCTCCTGACTATCCTTTTGTCTTTGGAATGGATGAGTTTTGCATACCGAGTGTCTTGTTCCAAGCTCTATTTCCCACTTGGATCTCTCAGGGAAATGATAACAATGATAAGTGTTTTTTTTGTCCTAATAAGTATGTCGTGCTTTATAAAGTTGTTTATAAGTAAAACTGTTTCGAATCTCTTTCTTTCTTTTTCTGTCTCTATGTATGTGTCTCTTTGACCGTATAAGGGAGCGATATCAGAATATGAGTCTCCCGATAATTGGGAATTCTACAGACGACGTGAAGAGTCCTCGTCGTACTCCTCCTCCTACGGTGATAAGAAGAGACAGAAGTTGTAAGAGGCCTCATTGGAGGGAGGAATATAGTTCTTTTATTTCCCTGGAACGGAATATGGTTTCTACGCCGATTTCAGTTGGAGACGATTCAGCCGGTCGTCAGCGGCTCACTGGTGAGGTATGTTATTGTTGCTTGGTTTTGATTTTCCTTATGATAATGGATGTGGACCTGTTGTTTTTAAGTCAAACTGTATTATTCATACTCGAATTCCGATGTATAAATGTGAACAGAGGAAGAGTGTCGTTGCAGAATAACATCGAATGATTGTGGAATAAAGCACACGAATGATAAGTTGTTCAAACGTTGCTATATATACATGTATATATGTATATGTATACATGTATACATATGTATATATATATACATATATGTATAGATATATAAATGTACATATATGTATAGATTGCAATTTGGGATTCATGTTCAATGATGTGATGAATGATTATTTCTTGCATATATGCATATTTCAACAAATATGATCTACGATAAATACACCAACATTGGAATACTTAAAATATGGTAGGAATGAGGTGAATGTGATGGCGAATCGTTTGCTTTTTAAAGGTTGACGGATATTTAAGGTTTGACGTGATATCTCGTTCAACAACTTCTAATTAATTTATTCTCGCGTACCAAAGACAAAGCAAAAGCCAATAATTGATCGTCCAAACCAAGATATATATTTAGTAACCAAAACCAGCCGTTAGACGAACGCTTAGCTAGCTAGTGATCGTGCACGTGACACGACGAGGTACCAAATGGCGGGGATGCTTGACCGGAAGCCTTCAGCTAAACAAGTCGACTTAAACAGTGGTGGTCAGCATCCAATGAGTGATTGCTGTGGTCAATAATTTTGGGGAATTATTTACCGCTACAGCTCACTCCCCCCCTAGTGGGGTCGTGAGGACCCTAAGACAGAACTAGCCGGAAGTGCCAAAGTGCGCTTCGCTCTCTGCTTCAGATATTAGCTTGATTATCGGACATGTATTAAGCGAAGTTAGACGAAGAGTGTGTCCTTAGTTTGCAATTTGGGATTCATGTTCAATGATGTGATGAATGATTATTTCTTGCATATATGCATATTTCAACAAATATGATCTACGATAAATACACCAACATTGGAATACTTAAAATATGGTAGGAATGAGGTGAATGTGATGGCGAATCGTTTGCTTGTTTTTTTAAACTGAAACCTCAAGGATAGCCTCAGAATCCGCCAGTAAACTACCTGCGGCGTGCCGTTCACGTGGTTGTGGTAGGTTGTTCAACTATTTCCGCTGGAGTACAGTTGTTAGGATTTTAATGATAGTATGTATAACTGGATAGAAAATTGTCGTTTAGGCAAAGATATATGGAACAGGTATTTGTTTAGTGGACGGATCGAAGAACAGAATACTGTATATTGATTGGAGAACCGGGATGAGATTTATGATCATCTCGGTGAATACATTTACGAGAGCGTTGCATTCTCTTCGACGTTGTTGCGTTCTAGTCTCGCAGCCAATTGTATCTTCACTTGTTTCGCAAAGAATCCCACATTTTGTTCAGGGTAGATAGAAATCTGTACGAAAATCTTTTAGACGTGTTTACTTTTACGTGTTTTCCTTCCATAAGTTGACTGTGATTATGCCTGACTAAACAGTTTCACTAACGCACTGTTATGTTTTTGGTAGTCTTGCTGTCGTGATTGAGTGCTTTTGATTATCTCCTTATAGACTGATTTGTGGTCGATGGATCCCTTTGAAAGCAGAGACAAAATCCCACGAACTCCACCTGGACAGTCGTTTGTGAACAAGTCTTTGGTTACGGATACAGAAGCCGGTCTTAACTGTTCCACATACGAGTCAGGTAGCCGGAGGAGTTTTGCTGACCGGACTCCTGAAAAACATACCTTGGCTCTTAGAAATTCTGGCACTGCTTGGTAAGTCCTGTTTTGTAGCATATGCGCTAATGAATTTTCTGCGATCCCAATGTAGTGAGATGAATGTCTCTGGTGGCAATTAATATTATCACATAGTGATTCAAATTTGAATACTTTTCCACTTTGCGCCATGTAGGTGGCGACTAAACGAGTTCGAGATGCAAATGACGATGAAAAGCCGCACCATAGTAGAAAAAAGTAAAAGTAAAGCAAGTTAAATAAGACCATGTTGGACTAAAGTTAGAATTACCATTACAAGGTTGAAGTGCATCTCAGAAAAGAGCGATTGATTCTGACCTGTATCAGCTGAAGTCATAGAAAGTAGGATACTAGCGTCAGCTGGACTCTGATCTGTGTCTCGGAACTACACCGATTAAGCAACAAACCCTTCTACTTACCTCAGGTGTTTATAGGCAGACAGGGATAAAAAGTCTAAAACAGGCTATGTGAGTTCAGTACACAAACGAATTACACCAAACACCTTTAAATTTCAGGTGAGGGATGATTCATAATTCACTGAGAAGAAGAATTCTATTTAGCTACATTTTACTGTTCTGAGTCAAACTAGTAGTCAAACTGTAGTGATGTGCGGTTGTCGAAACAACTAATTATTATTATTTATGAAGACGGAAGGGTTTCAAATAATTTTGAATAAGGATTCTTTTTCTCCAATAAAAGTGGTCATTAAGATGTAAAAGCATGCTCCTGACTATCCTTTTGTCTTTGGAATGGATGAGTTTTGCATACCGAGTGTCTTGTTCCAAGCTCTATTTCCCACTTGGATCTCTCAGGGAAATGATAACAATGATAAGTGTTTTTTTTGTCCTAATAAGTATGTCGTGCTTTATAAAGTTGTTTATAAGTAAAACTGTTTCGAATCTCTTTCTTTCTTTTTCTGTCTCTATGTATGTGTCTCTTTGACCGTATAAGGGAGCGATATCAGAATATGAGTCTCCCGATAATTGGGAATTCTACAGACGACGTGAAGAGTCCTCGTCGTACTCCTCCTCCTACGGTGATAAGAAGAGACAGAAGTTGTAAGAGGCCTCATTGGAGGGAGGAATATAGTTCTTTTATTTCCCTGGAACGGAATATGGTTTCTACGCCGATTTCAGTTGGAGACGATTCAGCCGGTCGTCAGCGGCTCACTGGTGAGGTATGTTATTGTTGCTTGGTTTTGATTTTCCTTATGATAATGGATGTGGACCTGTTGTTTTTAAGTCAAACTGTATTATTCATACTCGAATTCCGATGTATAAATGTGAACAGAGGAAGAGTGTCGTTGCAGAATAACATCGAATGATTGTGGAATAAAGCACACGAATGATAAGTTGTTCAAACGTTGCTATATATATATGTATATATGTATATGTATACATGTATACATATGTATATATATATACATATATGTATAGATATATAAATGTACATATATGTATAGATTGCAATTTGGGATTCATGTTCAATGATGTGATGAATGATTATTTCTTGCATATATGCATATTTCAACAAATATGATCTACGATAAATACACCAACATTGGAATACTTAAAATATGGTAGGAATGAGGTGAATGTGATGGCGAATCGTTTGCTTTTTAAAGGTTGACGGATATTTAAGGTTTGACGTGATATCTCGTTCAACAACTTCTAATTAATTTATTCTCGCGTACCAAAGACAAAGCAAAAGCCAATAATTGATCGTCCAAACCAAGATATATATTTAGTAACCAAAACCAGCCGTTAGACGAACGCTTAGCTAGCTAGTGATCGTGCACGTGACACGACGAGGTACCAAATGGCGGGGATGCTTGACCGGAAGCCTTCAGCTAAACAAGTCGACTTAAACAGTGGTGGTCAGCATCCAATGAGTGATTGCTGTGGTCAATAATTTTGGGGAATTATTTACCGCTACAGCTCACTCCCTCCCTAGTGGGGTCGTGAGGACCCTAAGACAGAACTAGCCGGAAGTGCCAAAGTGCGCTTCGCTCTCTGCTTCAGATATTAGCTTGATTATCGGACATGTATTAAGCGAAGTTAGACGAAGAGTGTGTCCTTAGTTTGCAATTTGGGATTCATGTTCAATGATGTGATGAATGATTATTTCTTGCATATATGCATATTTCAACAAATATGATCTACGATAAATACACCAACATTGGAATACTTAAAATATGGTAGGAATGAGGTGAATGTGATGGCGAATCGTTTGCTTGTTTTTTTAAACTGAAACCTCAAGGATAGCCTCAGAATCCGCCAGTAAACTACCTGCGGCGTGCCGTTCACGTGGTTGTGGTAGGTTGTTCAACTATTTCCGCTGGAGTACAGTTGTTAGGATTTTAATGATAGTATGTATAACTGGATAGAAAATTGTCGTTTAGGCAAAGATATATGGAACAGGTATTTGTTTAGTGGACGGATCGAAGAACAGAATACTGTATATTGATTGGAGAACCGGGATGAGATTTATGATCATCTCGGTGAATACATTTACGAGAGCGTTGCATTCTCTTCGACGTTGTTGCGTTCTAGTCTCGCAGCCAATTGTATCTTCACTTGTTTCGCAAAGAATCCCACATTTTGTTCAGGGTAGATAGAAATCTGTACGAAAATCTTTTAGACGTGTTTACTTTTACGTGTTTTCCTTCCATAAGTTGACTGTGATTATGCCTGACTAAACAGTTTCACTAACGCACTGTTATGTTTTTGGTAGTCTTGCTGTCGTGATTGAGTGCTTTTGATTATCTCCTTATAGACTGATTTGTGGTCGATGGATCCCTTTGAAAGCAGAGACAAAATCCCACGAACTCCACCTGGACAGTCGTTTGTGAACAAGTCTTTGGTTACGGATACAGAAGCCGGTCTTAACTGTTCCACATACGAGTCAGGTAGCCGGAGGAGTTTTGCTGACCGGACTCCTGAAAAACATACCTTGGCTCTTAGAAATTCTGGCACTGCTTGGTAATTCCTGTTTTGTAGCATATGCGCTAATGAATTTTCTGCGATCCCAATGTAGTGAGATGAATGTCTCTGGTGGCAATTAATATTATCACATAGTGATTCAAATTTGAATACTTTTCCACTTTGCGCCATGTAGGTGGCGACTAAACGAGTTCGAGATGCAAATGACGATGAAAAGCCGCACCATAGTAGAAAAAAGTAAAAGTAAAGCAAGTTAAATAAGACCATGTTGGACTAAAGTTAGAATTACCATTACAAGGTTGAAGTGCATCTCAGAAAAGAGCGATTGATTCTGACCTGTATCAGCTGAAGTCATAGAAAGTAGGATACTAGCGTCAGCTGGACTCTGATCTGTGTCTCGGAACTACACCGATTAAGCAACAAACCCTTCTACTTACCTCAGGTGTTTATAGGCAGACAGGGATAAAAAGTCTAAAACAGGCTATGTGAGTTTAGTACACAAACGAATTACACCAAACACCTTTAAATTTCAGGTGAGGGATGATTCATAATTCACTGAGAAGAAGAATTCTATTTAGCTACATTTTACTGTTCTGAGTCAAACTAGTAGTCAAACTGTAGTGATGTGCGGTTGTCGAAACAACTAATTATTATTATTTATGAAAACGGAAGGGTTTCAAATAATTTTGAATAAGGATTCTTTTTCTCCAATAAAAGTGGTCATTAAGATGTAAAAGCATGCTCCTGACTATCCTTTTGTCTTTGGAATGGATGAGTTTTGCATACCGAGTGTCTTGTTCCAAGCTCTATTTCCCACTTGGATCCCTCAGGGAAATGATAACAATGATAAGTGTTTTTTTTGTCCTAATAAGTATGTCGTGCTTTATAAAGTTGTTTATAAGTAAAACTGTTTCGAATCTCTTTCTTTCTTTTTCTGTCTCTATGTATGTGTCTCTTTGACCGTATAAGGGAGCGATATCAGAATATGAGTCTCCCGATAATTGGGAATTCTACAGACGACGTGAAGAGTCCTCGTCGTACTCCTCCTCCTACGGTGATAAGAAGAGACAGAAGTTGTAAGAGGCCTCATTGGAGGGAGGAATATAGTTCTTTTATTTCCCTGGAACGGAATATGGTTTCTACGCCGATTTCAGTTGGAGACGATTCAGCCGGTCGTCAGCGGCTCACTGGTGAGGTATGTTATTGTTGCTTGGTTTTGATTTTCCTTATGATAATGGATGTGGACCTGTTGTTTTTAAGTCAAACTGTATTATTCATACTCGAATTCCGATGTATAAATGTGAACAGAGGAAGAGTGTCGTTGCAGAATAACATCGAATGATTGTGCAATAAAGCACACGAATGATAAGTTGTTCAAACGTTGCTATATATATATGTATATATGTATATGTATACATGTATACATATGTATATATATATACATATATGTATAGATATATAAATGTACATATATGTATAGATTGCAATTTGGGATTCATGTTCAATGATGTGATGAATGATTATTTCTTGCATATATGCATATTTCAACAAATATGATCTACGATAAATACACCAACATTGGAATACTTAAAATATGGTAGGAATGAGGTGAATGTGATGGCGAATCGTTTGCTTGTTTTTTTAAACTGAAACCTCAAGGATAGCCTCAGAATCCGCCAGTAAACTACCTGCGGCGTGCCGTTCACGTGGTTGTGGTAGGTTGTTCAACTATTTCCGCTGGAGTACAGTTGTTAGGATTTTAATGATAGTATGTATAACTGGATAGAAAATTGTCGTTTAGGCAAAGATATATGGAACAGGTATTTGTTTAGTGGACGGATCGAAGAACAGAATACTGTATATTGATTGGAGAACCGGGATGAGATTTATGATCATCTCGGTGAATACATTTACGAGAGCGTTGCATTCTCTTCGACGTTGTTGCGTTCTAGTCTCGCAGCCAATTGTATCTTCACTTGTTTCGCAAAGAATCCCACATTTTGTTCAGGGTAGATAGAAATCTGTACGAAAATCTTTTAGACGTGTTTACTTTTACGTGTTTTCCTTCCATAAGTTGACTGTGATTATGCCTGACTAAACAGTTTCACTAACGCACTGTTATGTTTTTGGTAGTCTTGCTGTCGTGATTGAGTGCTTTTGATTATCTCCTTATAGACTGATTTGTGGTCGATGGATCCCTTTGAAAGCAGAGACAAAATCCCACGAACTCCACCTGGACAGTCGTTTGTGAACAAGTCTTTGGTTACGGATACAGAAGCCGGTCTTAACTGTTCCACATACGAGTCAGGTAGCCGGAGGAGTTTTGCTGACCGGACTCCTGAAAAACATACCTTGGCTCTTAGAAATTCTGGCACTGCTTGGTAAGTCCTGTTTTGCAGCATATGCGCTAATGAATTTTCTGCGATCCCAATGTAGTGATATGAATGTCTCTGGTGGCAATTAATATTATCACATAGTGATTCAAATTTGAATACTTTTCCACTTTGCGCCATGTAGGTGGCGACTAAACGAGTTCGAGATGCAAATGACGATGAAAAGCCGCACCATAGTAGAAAAAAGTAAAAGTAAAGCAAGTTAAATAAGACCATGTTGGACTAAAGTTAGAATTACCATTACAAGGTTGAAGTGCATCTCAGAAAAGAGCGATTGATTCTGACCTGTATCAGCTGAAGTCATAGAAAGTAGGATACTAGCGTCAGCTGGACTCTGATCTGTGTCTCGGAACTACACCGATTAAGCAACAAACCCTTCTACTTACCTCAGGTGTTTATAGGCAGACAGGGATAAAAAGTCTAAAACAGGCTATGTGAGTTCAGTACACAAACGAATTACACCAAACACCTTTAAATTTCAGGTGAGGGATGATTCATAATTCACTGAGAAGAAGAATTCTATTTAGCTACATTTTACTGTTCTGAGTCAAACTAGTAGTCAAACTGTAGTGATGTGCGGTTGTCGAAACAACTAATTATTATTATTTATGAAGACGGAAGGGTTTCAAATAATTTTGAATAAGGATTCTTTTTCTCCAATAAAAGTGGTCATTAAGATGTAAAAGCATGCTCCTGACTATCCTTTTGTCTTTGGAATGGATGAGTTTTGCATACCGAGTGTCTTGTTCCAAGCTCTATTTCCCACTTGGATCTCTCAGGGAAATGATAACAATGATAAGTGTTTTTTTTGTCCTAATAAGTATGTCGTGCTTTATAAAGTTGTTTATAAGTAAAACTGTTTCGAATCTCTTTCTTTCTTTTTCTGTCTCTATGTATGTGTCTCTTTGACCGTATAAGGGAGCGACATCAGAATATGAGTCTCCCGATAATTGGGAATTCTACAGACGACGTGAAGAGTCCTCGTCGTACTCCTCCTCCTACGGTGATAAGAAGAGACAGAAGTTGTAAGAGGCCTCATTGGAGGGAGGAATATAGTTCTTTTATTTCCCTGGAACGGAATATGGTTTCTACGCCGATTTCAGTTGGAGACGATTCAGCCGGTCGTCAGCGGCTCACTGGTGAGGTATGTTATTGTTGCTTGGTTTTGATTTTCCTTATGATAATGGATGTGGACCTGTTGTTTTTAAGTCAAACTGTATTATTCATACTCGAATTCCGATGTATAAATGTGAACAGAGGAAGAGTGTCGTTGCAGAATAACATCGAATGATTGTGCAATAAAGCACACGAATGATAAGTTGTTCAAACGTTGCTATATATATATGTATATATGTATATGTATACATGTATACATATGTATATATATATACATATATGTATAGATATATAAATGTACATATATGTATAGATTGCAATTTGGGATTCATGTTCAATGATGTGATGAATGATTATTTCTTGCATATATGCATATTTCAACAAATATGATCTACGATAAATACACCAACATTGGAATACTTAAAATATGGTAGGAATGAGGTGAATGTGATGGCGAATCGTTTGCTTGTTTTTTTAAACTGAAACCTCAAGGATAGCCTCAGAATCCGCCAGTAAACTACCTGCGGCGTGCCGTTCACGTGGTTGTGGTAGGTTGTTCAACTATTTCCGCTGGAGTACAGTTGTTAGGATTTTAATGATAGTATGTATAACTGGATAGAAAATTGTCGTTTAGGCAAAGATATATGGAACAGGTATTTGTTTAGTGGACGGATCGAAGAACAGAATACTGTATATTGATTGGAGAACCGGGATGAGATTTATGATCATCTCGGTGAATACATTTACGAGAGCGTTGCATTCTCTTCGACGTTGTTGCGTTCTAGTCTCGCAGCCAATTGTATCTTCACTTGTTTCGCAAAGAATCCCACATTTTGTTCAGGGTAGATAGAAATCTGTACGAAAATCTTTTAGACGTGTTTACTTTTACGTGTTTTCCTTCCATAAGTTGACTGTGATTATGCCTGACTAAACAGTTTCACTAACGCACTGTTATGTTTTTGGTAGTCTTGCTGTCGTGATTGAGTGCTTTTGATTATCTCCTTATAGACTGATTTGTGGTCGATGGATCCCTTTGAAAGCAGAGACAAAATCCCACGAACTCCACCTGGACAGTCGTTTGTGAACAAGTCTTTGGTTACGGATACAGAAGCCGGTCTTAACTGTTCCACATACGAGTCAGGTAGCCGGAGGAGTTTTGCTGACCGGACTCCTGAAAAACATACCTTGGCTCTTAGAAATTCTGGCACTGCTTGGTAAGTCCTGTTTTGCAGCATATGCGCTAATGAATTTTCTGCGATCCCAATGTAGTGAGATGAATGTCTCTGGTGGCAATTAATATTATCACATAGTGATTCAAATTTGAATACTTTTCCACTTTGCGCCATGTAGGTGGCGACTAAACGAGTTCGAGATGCAAATGACGATGAAAAGCCGCACCATAGTAGAAAAAAGTAAAAGTAAAGCAAGTTAAATAAGACCATGTTGGACTAAAGTTAGAATTACCATTACAAGGTTGAAGTGCATCTCAGAAAAGAGCGATTGATTCTGACCTGTATCAGCTGAAGTCATAGAAAGTAGGATACTAGCGTCAGCTGGACTCTGATCTGTGTCTCGGAACTACACCGATTAAGCAACAAACCCTTCTACTTACCTCAGGTGTTTATAGGCAGACAGGGATAAAAAGTCTAAAACAGGCTATGTGAGTTCAGTACACAAACGAATTACACCAAACACCTTTAAATTTCAGGTGAGGGATGATTCATAATTCACTGAGAAGAAGAATTCTATTTAGCTACATTTTACTGTTCTGAGTCAAACTAGTAGTCAAACTGTAGTGATGTGCGGTTGTCGAAACAACTAATTATTATTATTTATGAAGACGGAAGGGTTTCAAATAATTTTGAATAAGGATTCTTTTTCTCCAATAAAAGTGGTCATTAAGATGTAAAAGCATGCTCCTGACTATCCTTTTGTCTTTGGAATGGATGAGTTTTGCATACCGAGTGTCTTGTTCCAAGCTCTATTTCCCACTTGGATCCCTCAGGGAAATGATAACAATGATAAGTGTTTTTTTTGTCCTAATAAGTATGTCGTGCTTTATAAAGTTGTTTATAAGTAAAACTGTTTCGAATCTCTTTCTTTCTTTTTCTGTCTCTATGTATGTGTCTCTTTGACCGTATAAGGGAGCGATATCAGAATATGAGTCTCCCGATAATTGGGAATTCTACAGACGACGTGAAGAGTCCTCGTCGTACTCCTCCTCCTACGGTGATAAGAAGAGACAGAAGTTGTAAGAGGCCTCATTGGAGGGAGGAATATAGTTCTTTTATTTCCCTGGAACGGAATATGGTTTCTACGCCGATTTCAGTTGGAGACGATTCAGCCGGTCGTCAGCGGCTCACTGGTGAGGTATGTTATTGTTGCTTGGTTTTGATTTTCCTTATGATAATGGATGTGGACCTGTTGTTTTTAAGTCAAACTGTATTATTCATACTCGAATTCCGATGTATAAATGTGAACAGAGGAAGAGTGTCGTTGCAGAATAACATCGAATGATTGTGGAATAAAGCACACGAATGATAAGTTGTTCAAACGTTGCTATATATACATGTATATATGTATATGTATACATGTATACATATGTATATATATATATATATATATATATATTGAATATGTCTGCTGTTAGAGATGGTAATGTTAAAAGTTATCCTCATTGTAGTGTTTTTGATAGACTTTTGTTTCCACGATTTACTAGGCTTACCGAACATGCTGAGATTCTTGTTGAAGTTATTTGGAACACTGTGACTGTGTTGTTACCGTTGTCTACATGGGTATAGTATGACTCCAAAAGTGAAGTCACCTATCTGTGTTCTGAAGGTGTTAATTTTTTGGTATGAATAAAACAATATGTGAGAACTAGTGTTATATTTGCTCTACAGTGTTGATTCTGTATTGTTATTATAATTGTTGTTTTTTAGAAGGGGTTCGTTTCGAATACGTAAGTTTGTTGAATTGTTGATTTTGAGTGATATGCTGATTTATGTGTTATGTATGCGTTACGATAGTTTTTTTTATAGTTTCGACTTCCTTGTGCTTTAAATAAGTGTCTTTCAGAGGTGAGAATTAAGTGAGTAGGAGTCAGCTACCCATTGTTTGCATAGAGGTAGTGTGGTTACCCCTCCACATAACAGATGAAAGACTTTCCTTTAATTAATCAGTTAATTTATTAATTATAAACAGTGATTGCAATAACTAACTGTTGTCTTCTTATACTTGATTAATCTGATATTCTAGGTGAATGTAAAGTTCCAGTTAGAGTCGACTAGGCATTTGTCACCGAACGCATCGATATTCACCGGAAAGCTTTTACCCTCTTTCCAGAATACAAATATGGGTGAAACACTTACAAACATATGTATGGCATATAACTGTTCCCTCGAAATAGTAAATACTGGTAAATTAAAAGAGTAAATAGGCAATAAGAGCAGGAAGACAATGCTATGTACTACTGGTCGATCGATGCGAGTAGTTGTAAAACATTCCCGCTAAGTAGTAGTGCTTCCTAGATAGATTGACATTTTCTGTGAAATGTGAGAATTAGAGATAGTTCCGTTTACCTGGTCTTTGTCAATGATTTACTCAGTATATCAGTATTGTGATGACTCTTCCTTTGATAGTCGTGTGTTAATTAATTTGGGTGATATTATTTCTAAGGCTTTGCACAGATGTGCATGAATTCTAGTTTGCATAGTTCATGTAGCACACAAAGCAATCGAAGAGGGATTCAAAAGAGTCAATTAACAGGAATAGTAGGCAAAATAAGCGTAATATGGATGATCATTGGAATTTTTTTGGATTTGTTAGATGACAAGTGTTTTTGCATCTGCACTAGTGCCATGAGAAAAGTGTCGAGAAAGTACATAACACTATTCAAAGTGCTCTACTGGGACTTACCAGCGGTGTATGAGCTGTTCGTCTGTAGCACAGCGGTTTGGACTCTCGCCGACCGAGCACACTATCCCCTGTTCGACCCTCTGCCGACGCACACCTGAAATCAATGGTCGGCCTGCAAAATTTGGGCTACCGATATCACATGCTGAAAATTTCATACTTATACCAAAAATGTGGTGTGGAATCAAGCTATAATCAAAATAAAATAATTATGTAGAGTTCTCACTTAAAATGATGACATCCAGTGTTGTCTGTTAGAGGTTCTTACTGTCTGCCTGTTTTCGACATAGAACTTTGCACATATGTGCGGCAGTTCAAGTCGCCACACTCCATGTACCATACAAAGCAAGAGAAGAAAGTACAAGAAATGCATAATAGACAGTAAGCAGAGGTGTGAGACAAAGGAAGAGTAATAACGAAGAACAAAACAGTTTCATTAGAAATCATAAGTCACAAGGAGTGGATACATCTGCACCAGCCCTTGAGAACGATTTTGAGCCATGTCACCAATTGTTTCCAACCATTGGTTTTTACCGTCTCGAGGACCCCAACCAGGAAGCCAGTCTACACCTTCCTACGTGGCTTAGACTAACTGTTGTAGATTTCATTGACTGGTGCCAAGTTTCGGTTTGACCACCGCTAGCTTTTTTCCAGCCTGACCCTATATCAGCTAGCATTGTCCGTCGAGGAAGGCGATGACTAGGCATACGTAACACATGTCCTAACCATCTCAGTCTATGTAAATTCACAACCTCGTCGATTGATTTCCCCTCCTTACCTAGAACTCGACTAACGCCTAACCTCAATATTGCTCACCTTATTATCCTACTTCACACGGGAGATAGAACGCAGGTGCCTATAATCAAAGACAGCTAGCCATGCTTTTCATGTCTTCTACTCTCAATGGCTAGGTCTCACAGCTGGTCATAAAGGAGGACGGAGCGGGCTGATGAGCAATACACCCGTCCTTTGGTCGATAGTTGGATATCACGTCTACGCCAGAGACGGCGTAAACTAGCATATGCGAAACGAGCCCCCTGTATCCGTTCTGAGATTTCATCTGAGATCAACCCGTTGGGGCTGATGGTACTTCTCAAATAAGTGAAGCGGTCAACATGCTTTATCACTTCACTCTCTATTTCTAATCTAGGACTCGGTGTAGCCCATTCCTGTAACACCATCTTGCATTTGGCGGAGGGAGCGAATCGCATGCCAAACATTCGTAGATGGCGGCTCAAGATGTTTAGAAGACTCCGCATTTTTTCAAAGAAAACTTGGTCTAGATTCTTACTGTACCAATTTTTGTTTTCGGTTGGTGACGATGTATCAGAAACCAGTCAAACTTGAAAATCCGCCCACTGATTTTAAATCTAATGATCTATGAACTGTGTTATTTTTGCTGACGAAGTTCTAAAATTTATTGTAGTGAGCTGAAAGCCGGCGTTAATCCTTTGCTGGTTATCTTATTTTCACGCCAATGATTTTTGTCCGTTCGACAGAGTTAGTTTTCATACTTCCAACTAGTGTTCATTCTCTGTAATACGTATTTGTATTCTAGTGAAGATGAACCAATCGCTGCACGTTTACGATCACGTAAGAAATTATCTCAACGGCCGACGAATAATTGAATGTGGCTCATGCTTTGTAAGTGAATTAACCTAACTTTGTTAATCCTGTTTTGATTGTATAGATGTAGCAAAATCATTTAGTGAGGAGATATTCGCTTTTCATTTATGGGGGTGGTGGTGAAGAGACAACCTGTGTCACTTGCATTGAAAGCTCTTTAACTGCATTCCTCCAGCAGTGTGTTTATATTTTGTTGATGCTATCACCGAGGAATTGCAGTTTTATGAACAATGGTTTTTTTGAGGTGCTGCCCCAATGACTTGTTTTGGTGCTAAATTCACATTTTTGTCAATGAACTTATCTGGATAACCACTTTTACTAAGTAATTAATTCTCTAGTAGTCTTAAGCTCCTCAATGAGGGAGTCGTTTGAACAGATTATCCTAGCTGTATTAAGGAAACACTTTGCCAAGTTACGTGTGCATTTCAAAGGTGCAAAACAGAAGAGATGAGTGCAGTGAACTGTTGTTGTAGGATTCCTATGTGTGTGTGTGTGTGTGCCTATTGTTTTAAGAGCTGGAAAATTTATTAGATTATGTTACGGTCTAAGTTTTGGTTATGATGTTAATTATGGGTGTTTCTCTAAGAAATCAACGTCCTAGTAAGACTAGTTTGAGTATTTCCCCCCCTTCTTTTTGAAAGCAATGATAGACACAGGTACCTATCACTTGCTTTTCAGACTCAATAGCCCTTTGGTTACTTAAGAGTAAGTTTCCTGGATAGAGATATACTTGACAGTTAGTTATTTGAACTACCGATTTCTTATTACTTATTGTAAATTGTCTTCTGGGTGTTATTAATCACTTTCGAGGTAAACGTATCCGTGTATGGTATGGTATCCAAGCGTCGGTGGCACAGTGGTAGAATGCTTGCCAACTTCGCATGTGGTTTGGGGTTCGATCCCCGGCCGCCGCACTCCTTTACCTCCTTGCCTCTAACTTCGAACCCTGTTCCACTGAGAACGTAAAGGAATAAAAAAAGTGTTATCCGATTTGATTGACTGTTGTTTCAAAAGGGCCCCCCGTTAGGTTGCATTTGGTTGAAAGACAGAAGTCTGTTCTCTTTTACAAATAAAGTCCTGAAAACTATCCTTATGAAAGTAGCAAGTTGAATAACGAAAACTCCCCCACAGTCTAACAGTTGAGCATAGGATCCGATGATCAAGAAACCACAGTTTTCACATGGCCATGGCTGTTTATGTATTGACATTTGTTTATTCATTACTATGAATAATTACTGTGAGAACTTAGTTACCGACTACTGACCATTTATGCTAATGAATACTAACATTTTTTTCGTCTATAATTATTTTCAGGTATTAAAATTAAACTGACAACCTCCTGGTACATATATCTGTAAATGATTGAGAAAACACGGTGTGTATTGGGGTACGTATTTTTGTGATTGCAATAACCGTGCAGACCACGAATAAACAGGGAATGTAAATAGGACTTAATAGCTTTCATTTTCTGTCAACAAATGCGCATAAAAAAATAAAAGTACTTGAATAATGAAAAGTGTTACTTCTCTTCGACGATAATTTGATGAAGAATGAACCCAAGATATAAGTAATTCCACAGCCTTATGCGGAGCGTTATTCGTCTACTGTCTCAAGACGTCATCGCAAGAATCTACAATGAACACTCGGAATAATATTCCAGAGGATATCTTGTCTGGGATCTAGAATGATTTCGGGAAATAACTAAATATTTGTGGATGACACATTTGCTATTTGAGGGTATTACGAGACTTAGTAAAGCATTGTAAGTGAAGAGAAGGCCAAATGAGTGGTTTCTCTCTGATGGTCTTCTCAAGGAATGTCGAATTCTACTATTCGCGTGATTACGTACTATGTTTTCGAAGTGATATAAATAGAAGACTTAATGTTGGCGCGGCACGTGCCACTGACAAGAATTCGTAAGTGTTATATTGATAACAGTTACTGCGAGAATGTTGAAAGTGGAGTATTTATTTATTTATTTAAACGCATAAAAACTTGGTACAATATGGCACCAAGAAGGATGCGCCACACAATAATAATAAAACAAAGATCAAAAGAAAAAAAGATATATATATATATATATATATATATAAGTAGAGAACGGATAAAGAACTTCATCTGGAAGGAACACAGTCATGCTTAACAAGTTCAAACAGTTTTCGTTAACTATCATGAGGAAGGGAAGAAAGAAGGAAATTGCAACAAGTTCGCCATTGATTACGATTCTTGGCCATATCCGATAACGTTTCGAGCCATCGATTTGAGCTATCTCTCGGACCCCAACCAGGGAGTCGTGACATACCAACCGATGCTAATCTAGCACAAAAATCCTTCATCCCACGACGCCACGTCATGGACTGACCATCCCTTCGCCTTTTCCATCCCGTCCCAGGGCTGGTCAGCGAACAGAGACCTGTGCGGAAGCCTCTGGGATGACATTCGCAGCACATGTCCAAGACACCGGAGCGGGTGTTTCCAGATGACGACACTCAATGAATGGTGATCTCCACTGTGTTCAAACACACGCCGCCGAACCTCAGAATTACTCACGCGATGGTGTCATCGAACGCAAGCGATCCTGCGGAGACAGCGATGGTCGAACACGCAGAGTCGCCGCACATCCTCAGCTCGGAGAGGCCAGGTTTCACAGGCGTAGAGCAGGGCAGCCCGCACCGAAGCATTGTATGCCCGACCTTTGACAGCCAGGCTAACGTCGCGACGGCGCCAGAGGTGGCTCAAGTTGATGTATGCCACCCTAGCCTTCATTATACGGCTGGAAATCTCATCCGTCACCCCTCCTACAGTACTCACACAACTACCCAGGTACACAAACTTATCGACAACTTCAAGCGGTTCACCCACAAGAGTGAGTGCAGGTACAGACTCCTGCCAATCTTGTAACAGTACTTTGCACTTAGACGGCGCAAAGCACATACCATACTTACAGACACTGATCGTTAACTGATTAAGTGCGATTTGGGCAGCCTGCATGCTATCGCACAGTAAGACGATATCGTCTGCATACTCGAGGTCGAAAAGTCTATCTCCAGGTAGCAGATCTACACCACCTTCACGCACATCCTTCAGAGCTGACTCCAGAATGTCATCGATGGCAAAGTTAAAGGGAGATTGGGAAACCCTGTCTAACCCCACTATTGGTTGTATGCCCTCACTCTACCCGAGGTGTTTCTGTATAGGGCTTTCAAGATGTTAACAAATTTCTCAGGTACACCTCTCTCTAAAAGACAGTTCCAGAGCACAGTTCTGTCCAACGAGTCGAAGGCAGCCCTAATATGAAGAAACACAACGATCGTTGGCCTGCAATACGTGTGGCGGTGTTCCAACAACTGACGAAGGGTGAACACATGATCAATGCATCCACGGCCTGAACGAAACCCAGCCTGCTCTTCGCGAATCAATCCTTCACGTATTTTGCACAGCCTGCGAAGCAAGACAGCAAGCAATATTTTAGACGCGACTGGTAACAGACTGATACCCCTATGATTGTCACACGAATTACGTCGACCCTTTTTAAAGATGGGGACGATAGTGGCTTCGTTCCACATTGATGGTACACTCTCTGCCTCCCATACCATCCTGAACAACCCAGTTAGAGCGATTGTGGGAGTCTCGCGACTATCTTTAAAAAGAGCCGGGGGTAAATTGTCTGGGCCGGGCGCCTTATGGGGTTTCGGTATTTGGAGTTCCTTACGGACCTCCGCTTCAGTGAGTGGGTCGGTACTAACCAATCAAGGAGCACTGGGCTAATAACAGTAGACACTGAAGCTGGTGGCCAGCTAAACTGTGTCCCGAAGTGCTCTGCTCAGCGTTCCAGGAGTCTTTTCAAGCTGGTAATTGGCGTGCCATCTGCCTCACTGACCGTCTCGCTGACACCTTGTTTCTTGCTGCCGGTGGCTCGTATGAGTTGAAACAGCTTCCGACTGTTGCCAGATGCAGCATCTGACTCCATCTCACACGCACGTTCTGACCACCAGGCTTCGCGGTCCTTACGTAAAGACTGTCTAATATTGCGCGTGAGCGCCTTTCGCTTATTGTTGTATTCGCTGCCAGCCGGAGTTGACCGGCGTTCATCCAGGAGTTGCAAGAAACCTAGTAGTTTTAAGCGGAGCATTCTTTCAAGTCGCAAGTGGCTACACCCGCCCTTGGCATGGCACCTTGCAGATGAAGCCAATGTTCATCTATACTACTTGAGGGGTTGCTGGCAAGCTTTGATTGTAACTCATTCGGATATTTCAAAGAAGTAGCAGGTGCTACTAGTTTGCTCACATCAACGTTTAGACGACGCCTTTTATGAACCCCATCAAATCGCAAGACGAACTTGGCATACATTAATGCATGATCCGAGTCCAGGCATGTGCTCCAGAAGGAGCGACAGTGTTGTATGCATCCTCGCCACCGGAAGCTGACAGAAATATGATCAATCTGAGTCCAAGCTTGCTTCGCCAGGTAGCGCCACGGCGATGGCTGTGCCGGAAGTTGGTGCTGGCTAGAAATAGGTTGTGATCCGCGCAAAGCTGCAGAAGACGGTCCCCATTATCTGACCTGCGATCATGTGGTCCCCATTGACCACACACACGATTCTCCTCTGAGCTTAGACGCCCGACCTGTGCATTCAAGTTCCCAGCTAGAACTACGATATCCCTCCGACCCGCCTGTTTCAAGAGATCGCTCAGTTGGTAGTAGGACTCATCCTTCACCGCATCCGGCCTGCAATCCATCGGTGCATAGGCAGAGATAACAAATAGACACTGCCTATCTGGCCTACTACTCCTTACTTCAGACGAATAAAGAAATGAGAATTGATTCTTTCTCGGTCAAGTTGAATAAACAAATAGTTTACGCGCTTGTGCTAACTAATTCCACTCGAGATAAGTGAAGTTAAATTGCATTGACATTGCTAGGGCACATTCATTTTATCTTATGGATGATGAAATAACCACAATGATTCGCATGGTGTAAATAACTACGAAATGTTTCAGTCAATCTAGAGAGAGAAAGAGACAGGATGAAAATGCCTTTTGATTATTTGAACCTGTTTGAAGGAATTACTCACCTTATCGTAACCACTGACTGACTGAGTGAAGATTCGAAGACATCCCTCAGGAAAAGTTGACAGCGATTAGAATGATGAATAAATGTCAGGTGATGTAGAAGAAGGAATGAGTATTGGGTGAAATCAGTCATAGCACTGACCATTGAAGATTTCCCAACCGTGGGTAACTATGGTCAGAATTGAATCCATATGAGTAGGATTTAATAGGCAGTAGAATGAGTTCGATTGTTGAACACACCAGTGATTCACTTGAATATCCACTGAATATTATATTACAGTTGTCATCATTCTGTTGTGGTTGTTGTTGCGGCTGATGCTATTGTTATTCCTGTTGATGATGACTGTGATGATGGAGAGATCATCATGTATTCTAGTTACTGACCGGAAACCGTATTTCTCCTATTAAGAACGATAGGGAAGTGTAATTGAAAAGAAGAATAACAGTGACATCACATGTTGTTTGTGTACATAATAAGGTTAAACGTGAGAACATGAGAAGCTGGCTCTCACTTCTCCATTCCATTTCTCCTCACTTCACTTCACCTCAACTCACTTTGCTTCACATCACTTCAACTCAACTCGATTGAATTGTTTGGAATGAAGTGATTGTCATTCGGAATATATATGGTTGTTTTGTACATGTGTGTAAATTAAATTTGTCAAATGGTAATACAGTTAGCAAGTTCAGATAAATTGGATATTGATATAAGAGGGTAGTAACGAAAGTGATGAGTTGTCACAAATGATTGTTAACGAGAGTTACGTAATAATGTGAATAGTTTAATGAAAGAGTTAAGTCAAACCAAGCAAACAAACAAAAGTTAAGTCCAATTATCGCAGTTCTTACCATGATAGTAGAAGTGGTTGAATAATTTTCTTTTGTATGCATAGTTCTGGTTGTTCCAGCTGAATGGCTAGGACATGGAGAGTCTTGAGAAGAAGTCACATATATTCCAACACAAAATCTCTCCTACTGCATGCTTTGAATCTTACGGACTCTATTTAAGCACGTATTCCAGAACTGCAACGCAGCATTTCACAAAGGTCTACAGCCCTCCACAATTTGCTACCTAGTGAAACTCAGAGGTTTACGGAATATGTCAATACAGTCACTGAAAAGAGGTCACAATCTACCATATCCCAACTCACAAAAATCCTCAAATCTATCGAAGCACACAAACTGTTTCCTGACGACCCTTCAAAATTCGTATTTAACTACTCTTCAGTAGTTTTATATAACCTGCAGTTAGAAGTCCTATCCAATCGGTCCAAAATTCTGTGACGTCAATCTAAATGCCAACAGACTTCACAATCATGTACAATTCGAAAACTTAATTACTCGAACAAGATTTGCAAAGAGGAAATCCAAAAGCACGAGACACCATCCGTGCCAAAGAAGATACTTTATATGAACCTCGACTTCAAAGGTGACCTACCGAGTGATTTCCTTGGGAAGAGAATCTCCACTTCTTTAGGAACTTTCTTTGCAGCAACATTGAGAGTAGTGTTCTCCAGTCGCTCCCTGA